CCATGAACATACGGGCAACAGAGTCGGTGTAAATTGGAAGACGTTTGTATGGATTGATTACGACGCAGAAAAGACCCGAATATGTCTGAAACAGTATGATCATCCTCATGAACAATTTCGAAAATCTTTTTTTTTATCTCCATAAACCTTTTGTGTTTTAATTTTTCATGAGTCAAAAAAAAATTCCGTTGATTACTGGCCGTCCCTAATTCATTTACGATTTCTTTCATTCTTTGTCCTCTTCTTGTGCAAGTAGTAAAATATGTGGGGGAGGATGTGAAGGACTGCGATAGTGGATGGCGTGCTCAAACCGGCTATCGTGCTCAGTGTGCCGTCGTCAGCCAACTGTAAGTCGGGTGATCGTCGTTGTTTGCAAATCTCTTATCCATGCTCTAGCGTCTATCGGCCGTTTTTCGTTGAAATATAGGTAGTGACGATGGGATATTGAGAGATATAGAGAAAAGTGTGATAACAAGAAAGAGACAAACTGTTCTAAGAACAATTGAATTTGATGATGATTATCCTAAAAATTTTCTCGAGAGATTGGACTGCATGAGGAGATGAGACTAGTCAAATGGCAAATTATTGTGAAGAATATTTCTTAAGTATCACAGTTCATTTAAAGATAAAGGACTACTTTATGCTAAGTTTATGATTCATTTTCATTTTAATCATATGTGATAAAAGATTGAAACTCACGTAGATGAGCATGGAGGCATAACGAGAACGAAGATTCCATAAAACAGAAGCATCATTGAGGAAAGTCAAATTTGACATGTCTTCAGTTTTCTCGAATTTGGGTGGATTCATCTCTTGGATAAGATCTTTCTTTACAGTTTTCTAAACCATTTATAAGGTTATAAAAGAAGAATATTTGATAGAATTATACCTCGGATCCGGCTGAGGTTACAACTGTAACATTATCGCCTTTGGTTGCTTTGATTTCAGAAGCAAGATATCCTTCTTCTGCATCTGGGATCCAGCAGTTCTTTTTGGAATCATAAGGCGTTGACTGATCCTAAAAGTTAATAATATGAGATAAATCATTCAGAACAATTGATCATAGCTATTCAGTATATAATATATCAAAAGTATAATTAGTACAGAATAATGAAAAAGTAATTACCGCAAGCATTTGTTCGCGAGAACGGCGAAGGTATTGCCATCCTGGGTCTCTTTCGTGTTCAAGCGACATCTTGTCTTCAGTCTAAATTAGCTTCTAAACGATCTGAGGACAGGTGATAGCCTATTGCTCGTGCGGTTGCTCCACTGACTGTCGGATGGCGGAGTCGCTCGCGCTTAGTTCGCGTTGCGATGTTGCTGGCAAAGCTTTACCGTTCAGTTCCGCCCCTCTCTTCTGTATGTCTTTATCCTCTGCGATCTTTCGTTTGCAACAATTGTCACTCACCGTTTTGTGTGTGTCTGTTCTATCTTTAGCGGTTCTCTCGTTTCTGTACATTCTTTATGAATTTTCAAGAACAGATGAAGTCAGGACAGATAGAACTGTACATATGAATACTTGAGATTTGCTCAGCCATTAGCCTTTCTTCTTCTTGTGCTCTCGTCTTTTTCTATCCAATTCATGGATTTACTGTTGTCTAAGTGAATTTCTCTGTCTGACTCTCGTTCAAGCTCCTCTTGTCTCCCTGCAGACCGGTGTTTCAGAGGGAAAGTGAGCGACATAGAGAGATACAGAGAGCAAAAAATGCCAGCCGAGGGCATAGAGTAAACGAGGTAAAGCTTAAGCATCGAATCGGAAGAAAAGGGGAAAATGACAAACTACATTCAACTCAATTATGACTTGGTTATTTGGATATATACGAAACCAAGTGTTAAGCCATATAGTGGAAGCTTACTAAGCTGTTCTTTAGCTTTTCGCCAATTTTAAATAGCTGACATACATTTCAGTCTTGAAATTCAAGGAATGAAGCATCTCAAATGTAAGTCGACCTATATGGCGACAGATATGGATAAATTTATTCTTTTCATCCTTTTCCCTCACAAGAATAGGCTTCAAACGTCATTCTCCATCAACGATCTTAATCAGAAGATAACGTACGCAAACAACACAGATGAAAGCTTTGAAAAAGCGTCCAAGCCAAGAAGGTAGAGATGAGGGGGTGTCGTCGACTACAGAAAAAGCTAAGATGAGTTATAAGAGCTATGAAAGAGGAAAAAAAAGGATAGAAAATCTCGTAGATGTTAAAACTTATGACGTACGTAAAACAGAAGTTTTTAGTTACTTCAAGGGAGTCCCGAAAGAAAAATGAATTAAGAAAAAAAGAAAAAAGAGAAAATGAAAAACATACCTGAATACATACCATGAAACAACAAGTACAACCGCTTCAACATGCAAAACAATCTAAAATGAAAAAGATATTAAGGTTTCACGTGGTTCACGTGTACAATTTGCATGTGGATGTTTACTGCACAACAAGCATAAACTTAGATTATAAATTGTAAGTCAGGAAGTAATAATAATAATAATTTATTTTATGGCATGAAAACTGATGGACGAATCAAAGAGATATGATAGGGTTGAGATCACATTATTAAATAACAGCTAAAGCTATGCTTATTAAAGTTGCTTTACGTGCTTGATGATGATGTATTGGTGTAGAACGACGATTATATGTTACAGGCGCACTTATTTTGCGTGCTTTCAAGTGAGATTCCTCAGATGTTTTGAGAGAAGTAGTATGCCTTGAATGTTGACTGCCAAGTGGATCAAACCGCTTACTATTCATATATTGTGAATGATTACCAATATATGTGTTGTTGTTATCCGATTTAATATTGAAGAAATTACGTAATGCCTTAACATCATAATGATTACTCTCTCATCTCAAGTTCATGAGTTGAAAACCTTTTTGAAGCCCGGCATTCCATATGCATAAATCAAAGGATTCAATGCGCATGATATATGTGACAAAACGACCGTCCATAGTGTTAGATCTTTCATCGATGAATTCGGCCAAAAGTATTCAACTGTATTAATTATATACAAAGGATACCTATAAAGAAACAATCAATAAATATTTACTTTTCTCTTTTCTCAATCCTTTTTCTCACTTCATCTTCCCTCATTTCGTTTTTGTTCTCTTCTCTCCCCTGTCTTTGCATTGCTCATTTCTTGAAACTCAAGTAATTTCGCTTCTTTTCTCTAAGCATTCTTTCTCTTTACCTCTCTCTCCCTCCCTCTCTCTCTCTCTCTCTCTCTCTCTCATTTTTTTACTTCTCTCTCTCTCTCTTTACCTCTCTCTCTTTCTCCTTCTTCTCTTTTTTTGATTTCGATGGTCAACTTTTGAGTTAAAGACGTTATTTCCATTTCGTAACATCATTATTTCCTTTTCATCTCATCCAATTCTTTTATATTTTTCATTCTATTTCTTATTTCTACGTGACGATCTTCATCTTTCCGCTTCCGGCACCGCTGATGGAACGGAAGACCGATCGCCAGATGAGCTATTTTCGTGACTTCATCACAAAACATTTAATAGGAAAAAAAGGCTTTAAAAGAAGAATGAGAACTTGCCAGCAAATTCCATATGAGACGACGAGAATCAGTAGGATTTTGATTAATTTTCGTCGACCCTGCAGTCGTCGTTCCTGCTCTGTTTTTGGCAACAAGCATCGAACCTTCAAGAAATGTGAACAAAAGAAGTAAATTGAATAGCATACCTGTTGTTCTTCTTTTCTTATTCGACTATAGATGCTTACATAACAGAAGATAATGAATACAGTTGGAGCTAAGATGGTTCCAACAAAGATAACATAAACGAGATAACCGTAATCAACAACTACTGTGAAATGACATTCCATATTATGATGAATGAAATCATTCTCTGTTCTGAAATTTTAGATTTTCATTTCATAGTAATATAATTCTTAACATAATTTCTATTTTAATAAGTCTTTCTGTTTGTTTAGTATTTCAAACAAATTTTAACAAATTTCAGACTCAAACGGCTGATTTTATTATCTCTTTGGACATGACCTCTCTTTCCTCCTTTTTTTTGGTTCCTTATCTCTCTCATCTTATTCATATCCCCCCTTTCTCTCTTTCTCTTTCAACAATCCTCTCTCTTTTAGATGCTCCTTTTAAAACTCTCTGTGGAAGTGTTATTTTCAATTTTCGTTTTTCTGTTCCCGTTATAGGCATCTCGTTTTCTCCAAAAGTCCTCTTCAATTTTATTCGAAAACGTAACAAGGCTCTGGCTATAAAACTAGCTGAAGCTCAGAGATGTTTCAGCAAACGATGGAATACTAATGATTGGCCAAACAAAGTGAAAGAAAATTTTTTAAAAACTTACTCAGCAAAACCGAATATATTGAATACAGGCATAATGGCGATTGCGGTACCTATAATCCATGAAGAAGCGATGAGGATTATAGCTCGATGATGTCTAAAACATTGCATGAATGATAAAATGGTTGTGATTTGGTTGGATGAGGAATAGAAGAGAAGAGAAGTAGAGAGAAAGAGATAGAGAGGTGGAAAGGGGAAGGTGAGGAAGTGAGAGAATGAGAGATTCTTGATAGAGTTTGATAAAGTAGTCGAAAGTTACACATATGTGAGAAGTGTAATGATGATGTGGTTGACAAATTGGATTAAAAATTAACAAACCTTGTTTCAAACAGTTGATCCTTACAACATATCGTTATATACTTATCAAAAGCAATAGCTAACATATGAAATGTTGAAACTGTACATAGAATACATAGAATTAAGTGAACTATTAAACATTCATAATATGAATTAGGTTTGAGTGTCAATACGCTCATAACAGTCAGTGGAATGCCCAAACTTCCTATAATCATAATTATATTTTCTTTTATTGAACAACAACAAATGTATATTACCTGCTAGAAAATCAGTTAAAGCTAAAGAGAATATATAGGTATTGGTAGCTGTTCGTACATGTTTATATCGAAAATAGACCCATAAGACTAGTAAATTAGATAGTGAAATATGAATTGAGAGCATCAACTCGAGAATGGCGTAGATTGTTAGTTCGCTCATCACACTTACCAATACCTTAAAATGAATAATTTAATTAATTTAATTACATTCATCATTTCTTTTTATTTTTTTTATATACAAAACAATAAAAATGGCCAAATCAATAAAATAAAGAAAGATCTTTGCTAGAAAAGGATGTACATAAGCTTAAAATATGCAACGCAGACGTCTGTGGATGGAAAAATAGTACTGGAAAACCTCTTTAAACTTCTCTCTTCTATTTCCTCTATTTCTAGAAGATAATTAGATTCAACAACTCTTCACTCATTCCTTTGATGATACATTCCTGCTCATTGAACACACAAAAATATCAGACACAAATGGTTCCGACGCTATTCATCTCTCATCTTTCACGTACTCAAACTTATGATCAGATGATTGCTCCTTATTCTTCTTCATCTTATTCTACTTTTTCTTCTTTTTCACGTTTTTTAATATTGAAAAAAAAAGAAGGAGAATTTCATTCTTAGAATATCATTTTTGAGCAAAGGACATATGGAAGCAATACGGAAAGCCTTGAGGAGAAATGCAGCTTCTAGTCTTATAAGTCTGGCACGCCCATAATGTAACGCCTCCTCTTTCTCTTTACTTTAAGCTTTCCCCTTTCTCTCTCTCTCTATATATCTCTTTCTCTTTTTTCACCTTGCTTCTCTCTTTCTCTTCATCCATGTAGCTGAGAACATATCGCAATCATTCATACTTTACCTTTCTGTCACATATCTCCTCCCCTTTCTTTCTCTCTCTCTCTCGTCTCTTAGAGAGTAGTTTCATGAATCAAATCTGATTTGGAATCATATTTTGATTTCATTCAATTAAAGAATGATTACAGCAAAAAAATGAGGAAGTTCATATTATAAATAATATAAATCCCAGGCATTTGCCAGCTTTCCATGGAAAAAGATAATTGAGTTATATCCAACAGAGGCTTGCTTGAAATCAAAGTTGTGAAAACAAATAAAATAGTTAAATTAATAAAATTAATGAGTATTTCTCTTCTTCATTTCACTTTTAAAAAAATAAATTAAAGAGTTGGGAAGGAAAAATAATAAAGAAGAGAGAGAGAGAAAGAGACCAAAAAGATTGACAGATAGAGGGAGAGAGAGAGAAATAAAAAAAGAAACAAGGAAGAAGTGAAATACGAAAAAGGAGAAAGAGAGAGAGAGAGAGAGAGGGAGGAAGGGAGGGGGGGGGGATGAGAACAACCGGTCAACACGTCACAATTCAGAGAAATGAAAGTCATTTCCACGTGAACTATCACGGTTTGCAAATCATATTATAATTTATGTTAATTTCGATAGCCGGTGAGAGTTTGGCTGCAAAAAAAATGAAAAAAAATTTTCCTGGTTTTTCGTTCCACCAGTGCATTAATCAAAACGTTTTAATAGAGGAAAAAAGAAATTATATAATAAAATTTAAAAATTCTGAAATGTGACCACGGGTTCTCTGTTCTATGGTGAAGTCAAGAACCTGCTAACGAAGCCTATATAGAGCCAAATTGAGATGAAAAGGAGATAGACGTATGAAATGCTTATTACAGAAAACAGAAAAAAAGGGAGAGAGTGTGTGTTGTGAACAGATAGACAGAGAAAGGGTAAGAGTATAGAAATTAGAATTTTACAGAAAAAAAAAGATAGCGGAGGAAAAAAAATGAATTTCTTGAGATCATTGAGACTGTGGAAAATGTGTTGCTGAGCTAACATCATAATGGCATTCCCACGATGTACGTTACTATAAGCTTAGTCTTAGCAAATCCTCTTTACGAAAGTTTTCTTTGAAATTTGATCGGAATGAAGGATGTCAACTACATTTTGAGTATTTTATTTGTTGAATTATATGAAATTCTAAACATTTTGAACTCTCTGAAGCTTTTTTCATGACGGTAATGGAGGTCTATGATTCCTAGTATGGGATTATACGTATATGCGTATATGGAGCTCCGGTAATTTAATAAGATTCATATGGCATGTGACGACCACAAAACCGAATTTTGTCTTCTAAAAGAAATTGGAAAGTTAAAAGAAGTATAGAGAGAGAGATAGAGAGAGAAGGAATGAATTTGAGGGGAATTGAATGAGCCAACAGCTCACGTGGTTAAAAAAAATTTTCTTCAAATGAAAAGAAGATTCTCCAATTCATCCTTGTGCTACATCAGTGACTATTTACATAAAGAACTTTAATTATATACGCATAGTTAATATAAATATAGTTGAATAGGAATAATCAAGGAAAATTGAAAAAAAAATGATAGGATCAGGATGGAAATAATACATGAAACTTCACAACCACATCATCATCACATTCACAGCTTGAAGCATTATGTTCATATTTACACTATAAAAGCTTCAAGAGATCATTATTCAATGAGAATTTTCAGGAATAATAATTTTTTCTGGCTCAGCTATCTCAGATTCACATAATTCATATGTTGAAGCAAAGTTCTTTGGTTGAATGAGTTGGCTCCACAATGACATCATCACCATGAACGGCATGATAACCCAAATACCTAAATACGTACATTGTTTTGCTTCACTAATGCAGTTTCTCTTTTTGTCTCTCCTCTCATCCTCCTATATCTAATCCTGTTCTCTTTTCTCATTCTTCATCTGTCCAACTTTGTTAAGTGTAAGCTATCTTTATATCTTACCATTCATTACCCAGAATACCCAGAAAATACGGAGACTACTAGCTTCTTCCGAAAAATGGGATATTCCCTGAGGTGGAGCTATAAACAACACCAAATAGAGAACTGTCTTCCAAAATACGAAACAAGATGTTGTAAATGCCGTCAGAACCGTATGACGTGATTGTCGTCGAGCCTTGAATGGTAATGATTTCCTCAGGCTTTGCAATCTAACGAACCATGAAAAAGACGACAAAATCCATCACGATTTCAATAAGCATTACTCTGCCTGTTGCTGTTGTCACTTGATCATGTGGATCGGCATAGCGTTTGTCGACATCAGCATAGATGTTCCCTGAAAGATATTTATAATAACTCTTTTCATTGACTAAAGTTCTCTTACATCCATAATAAACAGTGGCCAATGAACCTCCAGTGGTTGTATGCGGTCGAAGCATTGTGAACCCAACATCTAGTAAACATATGATTGCAGAAGTTATAAGCCATGTCTCAATCCAAAGAGGCAGGATTCTTTGCTTATTTGGGTTATTTGTCGTCGTCTGAAATCATTTGATGAACGTACATATCCGGCTTTAAAAAGTTTAATTTAACTTCTGAGCAAACACATGCTCAACTAACCTTCTCAAAATTCATCTTTGATATTTCAAACGTCAAAGCTATAATTAAAAATAAAGATTAACGAGGAGAATTAAGGAGACCTACTGTCAAGAGGAAAACCTTATAGTGGTATGGGTGAAGATTACATTCGAATGTTCTGTTTGACCCAGTTCTAACGACACTTTCTTCTCTTTTCATATTTCTTTCGAGAGGGACTGTTCTATCGTTCCTCTCTGTCTGCAGTTCTCCCTCCTATTCTATCTCCCATTATTCATGTCTTCTTTATCTTTCTCTGTCTCTCATACCATCTTCAGATCTTGTATGTCTTCTAACATGCTCTCTTCTATGTGATCTATTTTTCGTTCTTCAAATATCAGACTCCTTTTCTCTGGACTCTATACCTTCCCTCCAGCCAATCAACTTTTCCTTTTTCTAACCTTACCTATTTCTCCAACATTTTCCATGTTTTTGTATTATGTATATAAATGATTTTGGCAATTCGTATCTTTACACTTTTCATGCAATTAGACCAAGATCTTCTCGACAGAGGAAATTAACCGGATTTCTCTCTCTTACAATTCGTATTTGAATGCTCAGTCTTCTTCTTAACAGAGTGAGTCTCACCAAGAATAAACATTAAAAGACATTTTCACAAATCAAATGAAACTTTTTCCCTTTGAACTTTGCGGACTGCGGGTGAATAATACATTTTTTCACAATTGAATACTCGATACCACCTCAACTACTTGAAAACGAATGATGAATTTAACCGTCGAGTGTTTAAGATTGAGTCATACAAATCCTGCATTGTTTCTACAAATAAGAATAAAAGAAAAAAACATAATATGAAAGCTTTTATTGTTTTCGAAACTGCTGTCAAGCTTAGGCAGCCTTAGCATGTCTGTGACGAAGAACTTTCTTGGCA